TCTCCGCTTGTCTTAAATGCTATACAGAAATATTAAAATTTTAAGAAAAAAAAATGGTCCGCCGTCACACTTAGTTAAAAATTATGTTTATATAATTGTGAATTGTATCCTTGACATTATTTTAATATATTTTACGAATTTTATTTTTTATTATATACACGTATTGTAACGGGGGGGATAAACCTGCAAAATGAGAAATTTATATAAGAGCAAACTCCCACGATGCAGAGCAAACCGCCGCTCCGTTAACACGTATGTTAATACGTGTATTCGCCTTAACGTCAGCTGATTTAACTTGGTTGTCTTCGATCAAGCGGAGTTGAACTCACCTTAAGTCAAGTGCCCTGTGACACACGATGAGTTTTAAGTGTAATCGACTTTGCTCCTAATCCACTTAATCCCCTAGCTATGATCGGATTAAAACTTAAGCCTATTTCAATTGTTTAATCTATTAGGAAAAATTATATGACGAAATCGGCGAATAATTTTAATAGATTTTATTAATAAAAATCTCTACAGTCTTTATCGGGCCGAAAGACTGACGCACGCGAACAGGATTTACAATTAAATAACTTTCGGTGAGAAAGAGAGAGAGAGAGAAGATACGAAAATTGGCGCGATCTAACGCTCGGCGCGAATACAAAATTATCAACGCTAACGCGGCTGAACAAAATAATAAATATATTTAGACACGCGATAATAAAGGGAGGTGCACCTACCCTGCGGTGCAATTACGGTGATCAGCCGTAATTGTTGATGTCAGCAAAATGTCAACTGCCTCTGTCCTCTGAATAATTGGCTGCGCTACCTCACTCTGCTTATCAGCTGCAAACTGCTTCCGAATCCCCGTACTTGCTGTAATATCGCTATCACACTCACGCACGAGATTGTCCCAGGAAAACTATTACTCGGCGAGAAAAACTATGCAAATAAAAATCGGCGATGCTCGTTCGAATACAGCTGAAGCGTAACTGCTAATTTGAAAGATCGCGCGCCCCCTCTCTCTCTCAATACTTAGAACTAACGCGCGAAAATCAGAATCGCGAACGGTTCGATTAATTGAATCGACTACCGTTGCAGTATATGTAACATATTTTCATATTTCATTAACTTTAAGAGCGCGAAACACGCTGTGATGTACTAGCTTTGAAAAAAAATTAATAAGTTTATTTATAAAGTTCAATCTTAAAAAAAATCATTTTTTCGATGGATCTTTCGATTAACGTCGGACTTGGTACAAATTATTAACTAATGATTAAATATAACAATTTTCAATAATTTCATAAATCCATTTTTTAAACATTAAATTTAAATGCTAACCTGCTCAAGTTTCCAATTGATTTCAATGGAAGCCGCGCTTTGTATGCTTAAATTATTATAATATAAATATAAAACAGACTAAAGTGCAACGTGATATCAACAGAAGCTTATCTCTTTCAATCATTCGAAATTTTTTTTTTAACAAATAGTGTGATGCGAATGCAATTACGTGTTGTAACAGGGACTTAGACCGCTACAATATATTAATTTTACCGAGATCAAGTAATGGCTAACACAATTGCAGCTCTTTGTAGGATTACGTTCTGCTACGTAAGACCGGCCCGGTAGGTCGAATTGCCAACTGGCCCGCGGAGAGCGTCGTGGATCACGCAGCTTAAATTGCGAAAGTTGAGGGAAGCATTAGGAAGGAAAGGTAGCCCAAAAGAAAAGCCATGCAGTTATAGTAGTATATAAATATATATATAGTTTATGTACGTATCAGTGTACAGAACGGTTCAGAGAGAGCAGCGAGATAGGCAAAGCGAGAGAGAGATTCAGGGAACGGTCGGTACTTACATTAGTCGATGCCTCTCAATTACAATTCGACAAGATTGCTGAATTCCTCTATTTATATTGTCGCTTATCACGAAAGGAAGGAGGTGCCGCACGTACAGTTGCACCTCATTACCCACTCACAGTCAAGGATCACTCCTTTGCCACGAGGCGATTTACAAAGAAAAACTGAAATAAGTATACGCACGACCGAACGCCTCTGCACGGCTCGCGAGCTATCCGCTAATTGCCGGCCCTTCGTCACGCGGCACGCGGTACGCGGCTCGCCACATATAGTTATACCTACACGCGCACGCGGTCTCTCTCTGCCGGAACTCTCTCTTACCTTGTTCTCCGCAGTCGTCGTCTGCTGCTGCTAAGGAGAAACATAATTCAAAAGATGACATTATAAATATATAGTATTCTTTATATTATTGCCGTAGAGAGAGAGAGAGAGACATAACGAATTGACATCAAACTTGTTATAGTGTAAACATTAAAAACATTGTAAGTTTACGTTAAGCAATTATAATAGTGCAAATTTGATTAAATCATTGACATTGGATATAAAAATTTTTTCTTTTTAAGGAAATTAAAAAGAAAAAATTGAAAGAAAAAATTAAAAAAAAAAATTTCCCGTAAAGTCTAAATTTCTTACACATCAATGAATTTGAAATATATCATAGATAACATTAATATATGTGTGCAAAAAAACGTAGGTCATGTTATGCATGTTTTCCAAAAATATAGTGTTTTCAAAATTATCGTTATCACACTGAAACTGCGGCCGTACAAATATTTTTAACTTCGTTTTATTGTTATCTTGAATAACCAAATTGATCAGTATTCATAACGGAAGTATAGGTCTTCAATAAAAAAATTAATTAGCACCATTCATAGAGTATTTCAATATAAATAACTGTATTTGTATTGTCAACTTCCTCAATTGATCCACTATAACGAGTATATATTTCTTTATTAAAGTAACTTAACAAATTAACAAAGCAATAAGCTTTTCAGAGGAGATCGTTAGATATTGAAGTTTCGATTTTCATTATAGTACCATGACTTTATCGGCCTTATAGAAAAGTTTTCTAATGAAAATCATGCACAAAATGTTCAACTTTGGTTAAGATAGCTAGACAGTGTAAATTTGGCAGCGTTACAATTGACGGCTGTGTGGTTTCGGCTACTGCGCATGCTTTTCATGCGTACGTGTCGCACATTGGATTCAAATTTTTTTAGTTGACACGTATACAAATAAAAAAATAGTCTTTCTTTTCTCAAAACAAATGATAAATTTATTTATTTATGAATATGTTGCATTTTCGCTCATTGAATTTATAAGTACAGTATCTGAACATTTTATCGTAGTAATACGAGGGTGATCCGATAAGTACTTAGTCTACAAAAGAAAAACGAAAATTTTGGAAAAGTGGCGTTTTATTTTTCAACATAGTCTCCTTTTAGTTCAATACACTTGGCCCAGCTATGCTCCAACTTGTTTAACCCGTCTGAAAAATACGTTTCCTGGAGGTCTGAAAAGTAGGCTTTCGTGGCAGCGATTACCTCCTCATTCGACTCAAATTTCTGTCCGGCGAGTGATTTTTTCAAGTTTGGAAACAAAAAGAAGTCGCACGGGGCTAAATCTGGAGAATGCGGTGGATGGAGCAGCAGTTCGTAGCCTAATTAGACCAATTTGGTCATGGCGACGGCGGAGATGTGAGCCGGTGCGTTGCCATGATGGAAGGGCACTTTTTTCTTCGCCAAATGGGACCGTTTTTTCTGCAATTCGATGTTGAATCGGACCGATAATTCGGCATAGTACAGCCCTGTGACCGTTTTGCCCCTCTCCAGGTAGTCGATGTAGATCACACCTTGCGAATCCCAGAAAACGGTGGCCGTCACCTTTCCGGCCGATGGGGCAGTCTTCGCCTTCTTCGGAGCACATTCGCCGGGTAAAGTCCACTGTTTCGACTATTCCTTGGTCTCTGGTGTATACCAGTGGATCCATGTTTCGTCGACTGTCATGAAACGACGCAGAAACTCCTTCGGATTGAGCTTAAACAGCGTCAGACATTGCTCTGAAGTTGTCTCACGGTTGCGCTTGTTGTCCGGAGTGAGCAAACGCGGCACCCATCGCGCCGACAGCTTTCTCATGCCTAAAATTTCATGCAGGACATGACCCACGCGGTCTTTTGAGATGCCTACGATCTTAGCTATCTCGCTCACCTTCAATCGTCGATCTGCCAATACAAAATCGTGAATTTTTGTCATGTTATCCTCCGTGGTAGCCGTTTTCGGAGCACCTGGACGTTGCTCTTCAAAAATCGACTCGACGTGCGACCACGTTGAAACTCGTTAAACCAATTTTTGACGGTCCCCATCGAAGGAGAAGTCACCGTACACAGCATCCAAGCGCTTTTTGATTTCGCTGCGCGATTTCCCTTCCAAAAACAAGAATCGGATCACCGACCAATTTTTTTTCCATTTTTCCATTTTTCAAAAATCAACGGACACACTTGCTTTCACACGCTCTCAAAAATAAACTACAACTCCTATCCGGCTGAAATCTTGACAGTAACCATCGAGAAGGTTGTACTACGCGATAGAATATTTCTTTTGCGAGAGTGGCGCCATCGGGCGGTGAGGTTAAGTACTTATCGGACCACCCTCGTACGTACCTCGTAGAGTCACATTAAAACTTGTACAGAAATTATTAAATTACATACATACTTGCGCAAATGAACAAAATTTCAACCACTTTGACGAACGATGTAATGCTGTATTGAAGGAATAATTTTTAATTATGATTACATGCAACAACTACAACTCATTAAAAAATTACACTACAATAAAAAAATATTATTCTAAAGAATTACTCATTTAAATTAATAATATAATTTTTTACATTACAATATGTAATTCAATTGTTATCGATACTCTTATGCAGTAAATTTTTTTTAATAGCTGTAGCACGAGCTAATATTTGTGCTTTACTCGTCGATCGGAGTAAAATATTATTTTCGAGTATATTTTTCAAATAATCTCGAAAATATCAGTATTTACATTGCACAATTATTAATCAAAATGTGCATGTCAATGAAAGAAAAATCTTCATTTTGCCGATTGATTTTTTTTATCAACATGGCAATACACTTTTTATGTTTCGTAACTCGCGGTCGACCTCATACATCTTCACTAAGCATTACTTCTATTCTTTTTGGGCCTTTAGCTTTGTAAACATCAATAAGTATATTACGATTAATACTTGCTTTTGCTATTCGTGATAACATATTAGATGAAATACAATCTTTGAGAAATTCCAGAGAAGTTTTGTTAGTAGAGTGGGTAGTTTTCAAAGCTTCATTGCGTAAAAAATCGGAAGTACTCTGAGTGAGATTGTCAATTATTGAATTGGCAATTTTAATTTTAGCAACAAGCTTTTGCAAAGTATTGACATCTGTAATAGCATTGTGCGCTACTTCTGCGCTTTCCGAACCTTGATAATACATAGCTAGAGATGTTTGAGAAAAAGACTTTTTTCTCAATACTGGCATGTACTGGCAAAACTTTGTGAAAGATGTGTAGTGTATCGCTAAATCCACTTATAATAGTCTTGAATTCTTCCAGCAAATAGAGTCTTGATAAAGTCCTTAATAATATGGGAAAGTCAAATCTGTATCCATTATGAGCTACAAGTATAACATTGTTGCCTTGTTGATGCAAAAATGTTAAAAAGTTTTCGAGTGCAACTCGAAGTGACATAGTTTTTAATAATGTGTAACCGTAAAACATCTCGACCCCAATAACTTGAAGACCGGTGATATCACTGATGCGCTTTGGTATACCCCTGGAAGGAATAACATAGGCATTATAAATTTCATCTTTTGAACAAGCTGCGATCTAGAAAAAAAAGATCAAATATTTATACCAGAGTACAAAATAAATTTATTTACTTAATATTTATTTGATTTACTTGCGTCATTTCTGGATTCTTTTTTAGACCCGCCGTTTCCAAGTCGAAGAAAACTTGTAGCATTCGTGTAATCGCTTTGATCTAAAAATTATAAATTTGTATCAATAAACAAACTATATACACGTGATACAAAAAACATACTTACAAATCAAAATCAGTAACAAAAAATTACTTGATTTTAAATCATTTTCAAGCAGCTGGGGGACAGTATCAATGCAGCAATCAGATGCATAAGTGATTTCTTCCTTACGTTCCGCGACAGAATATTTGTTAGATCTACTCTTTTTTAATTGAATCCGCCTTCGTTTCTTTTTAATAGTTGATGCTGTTGATGTCTTTAGCTTGACGATATTGCATTTTGAAATAGCCAGGTGGTAATTCAAGTTTCAAATTAACGTATAAGACATAAACAGTTCCCAGGTTCCATTGGCAAACTGTAGCAGCAACTCGCACAAGAAAAGAGCCGGCATAGTGCCTATTTTTTGGATGTTTACTAGCCACAACGTTGTTGAATGACTCATTTCCCTGCGTTGAACCGCAAGGCGCCAATTTGTTTGCATTTTTAACTGCTGCTCTAAATATTTCCGTCAGCTTGACTAGTAAATTTTCATCAATAAGTGATTTACCGTGAGGCAAGTTTTCATGCACGTAAACGCTAGCAGCAGAATATATACACCATTTTCTACAGTGACTATGATCACCAGACGAATGCAGGACTATGCTCAATAAAGCAGATCGAACCCCATCCACACCACCCTGATTTTGTTTAATTGCAATTGAAAAACAGTTAATAAAATAATTGTGCACTTTTTGAGATGTTTTTAACTGAATTAATTTCTTAATTAAATTTTTTTTGCGTGATTTGTATCTGATCATTCCTCAATATATTCTTCAGCTTCTCTCCGCAAAGCAAAAATTGTCAACGAATCATCATCCATTATAAGTACAGATATCAAGGCATTATATTTGTTTAATAAAGAATTATTGAGCACTAACTCTTTAGCAATATCGGCTTCCATTCATTTAGGGTTTTTTTCATAGTTCATGCGACAGTTGTGATTAGATGAATTTTGTCCACGTGCACATTTTGCACATTTTTTAGTACGACCTGTTTGACCAATCATCTTACCTGTTCTTCTTACTCTCAGTGAAGTATGTCCTATAAAATTGTAATATAACATATTTAAATATTCTGAATGCAAAATTTGTATAAAAAGACATAAAAGGCCATTATTTATTGATTGGGTATATAATAATATTTCCAGCACAAGTGTCGCTTTCTTTCAATTCTACTCGTATCAATAGTCATAAGTTCATCCATCAAATACAGTCTCAGGTAAACAGTATTATCAAAAGAAAAAAAATATTTAATTGAATATTAAAACTTAAACTTTCTTACCAGACTATTAACAAAATTATTAGTCTGCAACTTGGGGCATATAATTTTGACAGTTACGAAAGCATAAAAAATAGATGGTATTCATAGAGTTGTAGCTGAATGTTATCAAATAATATTTGACAAACCAGAAGAACTATTTATAAGAACGTCCTGTCCCGCGCCTTTGCCAGTCCGTATCTAACCCACCAGCTAATTTATGTTCTATACGTTTCTTTGTAGAAGTAGTATTTGATTTTTTAGGGGATGCTCTATATTATCATCTTTTAAACTTGTACACCTGAAACAATACATGCACAGACACACGGGCATGCACACATGCACTCAAAAACATTTGCATCAGAAAAAATCATATGAATACTAAATAAAAATACAAATGAAATTAGACTGAAATGGAACTTATAAAGTGATTCGAAAATGGAATGAATATGAATGATGACAGGAATATTTTAACAAAAATGATGGCGATGAATAAATGAAAAAGATGATAGTTAGCTCACAGTCGCTTTCAAGTATACAAAAAGTAAAACAATGAAATACTATTCTCTGTATTCCATTTGTTCAATAATTCTATTGTTACATTGATATTTTTAAAATTACGATTTTTTTGCCTGGCAATTTGAAATCAAATATAACAAAAGAAAAGACTAATTCGTTATATAAAGTGTAATGTGGTACATTACAAGGCTTTGCCTGAGAGTGATGCACTATTTGCAACACTTCATGAAAGCCATCCCCGTCCCTTGCCGCCCCATTATCAGCCGAATAATTATGCCTTACTCGCGGTCTAATCGACACACTGCTTTACTCTCAAATTCACCTACTCACACCCAAGAAAACGACACAACAAGTCAATGAACGCGATCCGACGGATGAAAAAAAAAAAGTGAGTGCATGCACACACACTCCCGACCACGTGTTGCCGGTTGGAAAGAAAAACACGAAAACTTGACTGGGAAATGCAGCGAAAATGCATGTTAGCGGTATATGCAGATCCGTTACACTCTCAGACACTGACATGGACACTCTGGAGACGCTTGCACACCTGGGAGCGACCAAAAAATCGTCGATGAAACGGCAGTCGGCAATCAACTGTGTCAGGCTGCTGTGCACCATCGGGGACATCCTGAGCGCCACACACACAAACACTGCTACCGATCACTGACAACACCTGGAGTTACAGATACATAACACCCGGGTACACACCACACGACCGAAGGGGAACACTCCAGGAGGCTCTTCGGAGGCCGGTAACGGAGCACGAGGTTGACACGCGGGAGCGAGGACGACCATCTTGGAGAGTAAGATAGACTAAGCGAGAGCGAGCGAGACAGACTAAACAATAGCGAGCGAGACAGATCATATGAAAGCGAGCGAAGTAGAATAAATACCATACTAATTCAAATGCAAATGCGATGATGAGGGCGCTACGAAGATAAAACTGACATACAATTATTGTATCATTGCAAAATATCTAGTGATACAATTTAGAACATGGAATATACTAAATTAAAAATTAGAAAATACTTGTATGCGGCCGCTATAATCCCTTAAGTGTATTAATAAGCGACAAACAATCTGACAAATTAAATTGATAATTGACTGATGAAATTCGAAACTCTGACGAAACTCACCAGTGACGTCACGACCAATAAGCGAATTAGAACAAAATTTGATTTCTGTCCGCAACGAAAAATAAATAGGAGTAGGGGTAGATCTTTCTCATCAATCAATGCTGGCCGACTTAGTGGGGGGGGGGGGGGGGGGGGGGGCAAATAGCGACGAAAGTAGGAGATAAAATGAGGGCGCTGTTACTTTTCTAATTTAGATATTCACCAATGACGAAATATTCGGAGGGCGCTACCGATATCCGAATTAGTATATCGGCCAATAATAGGATTTTTTCTCTGAAAAAGGAGAGGAAAAATGATTTTTGATCGCAAAAAGCCGTTTCTCGTCCATTTTGCCGCTGATCGCTAAAGCAATTTCCCGGATTCGATTAAATACTTCGAGTTTGCCGAGTTTCTTCAGCAGTAATCTGTAAGTAGGTAAAGTACCACTCACTAGTACTAGTTGCGAAGTGCAGAGCGTGATTTTGTCGTGCGAATAATCCCGTCGCGACGCGTGGATCCGTCGACGCCGGAAATATAGTGCTCCGATCGAGTCGCGCTGACCACCCGCCATTTTTCAAATTAGAGTGAGTGAAAGGATCGAAAAGGAGTTTAGATATTTAGGTGCAGTGAATTATAGTTACGAATTTGGGGATCAAGCGTATTAAATCGTCGCAGATTTGATTCGCCGGGACGTGTGGATCTATTCCGCCGCGCATTAAATCGCGTCAAGTCGCGCTGACCATCCGCCATTCCGACCGTACCTGTACTTTAGTCTCAGAATAAAGAAAAGTCAGGGGGTGACCGATTTTCTTTATTTATGCCTCGTTAACCCTTCCTTCCCTGCATGCTGATATTATTTTTAGCCGCGGACGGTCGATAGCGAAGATTCTGTTGTTCATATTTCTGGTTCCGAAATTAGGTAACTTACGCACAAAATCGAACGAATCTCCGACCCGAGACGAGGAGAATCCTGAGCTGCCGGCACTTCAAGGACGTGAGAGAACGAATTAAATTGACAATTATTGGGCACCATCGGCCTGATAAGAGGAAATCGCTATGACAACGTCAACTTTGCGCAATCGCATCGTGAGCAAACAGAACGACGCCGCGATTTTCAGGCCCTACCCCCGACAATCGCCGTAATTTAAGAACGGCGGTCTGGCACCCTTATTTTTAGTCGGGGGAAAACAGGTTAATCAGGTCTTGTGGCGGAAGTACTCGAAGTGCGTGGTTGAGACCCCCCGAATTTCCCTGCCACAAAAGTTAATTTAACAATTTTACTTATTAGAAACACTCATTGATCTCATCTGTTTTAAAAATAAATTTTGCAACTCATATGCATCATTCTCGTCGCAAAAGTATTTGAAGATTATTTTTTCTAAAACAGTAAAACAGGAGGTTTGATTTTGCTCAAACTTTCACAAATGATTTATCGAATATATAATATTCCGAAATTTTAAATGTAAAATCAACTGTGAAATAAGTTCACTATAGACCGGATCCATTTCAGATCGGGCAGGCCTACGGCAATGATATCTCCGATTGACTCGGCTGTGGAGTATGTTATTCTACTTCAAAAATAAGCCGACACGTATTTTTTTTTTTTCGATTAGACCTCTACATCATTTTTTACGAGTATTTTAAAAAAGTGGTTAAAAAATAAATTTTCTAAAAATCAAATATTAAAATTTAAAAAATGCTCTATATTTTCTAATTTTTTTACTTAATATGTTATTTATAGCTTATTTTACTGTATTTCTTATACTCTTTCGAATGCGCCATGTAGAATAAAAAAATATTGAAAATGGCGGGAAAAACTCAATTTTTTGAAAAAATTTCAAACTCAATTTTCTCAAAAAAGCCATCGTTTTTTTTTCAAATTTTTATGATAGATTAAGCATTACAAGACCTTTAAATTGGTATAGGAGTGATCGCGTACTTTTACGTTTTAGTGATAAAATATCGATTTTTCGTTTTTTTTTTGCTCAAAACATTGATAATTATAGTTTTGACTTGTAAAACTTATTTACATATATTATAACGAGTCGCATTCT